GGGGGGAGAGAAAACCTTTTGTAGTGATAAACACACATTTTTTCACGGTTTGTATGTATAAAAACATCTTCTGTATTTTCCACACTATGCATCCGATGAAGTGAGCTGTAGCTCACGAAAGCTTATGCTCAAATAAATTGGTTAGTCTCTAAGGTGCCACAAGTCCTCCTTTTCTTTTTGCGAATACAGACTAACGCGGCCGTTACTCTGAAACCTGTCATTTTGTGGACAGTCACTGATGAGGTAAAAGCAGCCATCTGTGACAAAAAGCCTTCCACAGTTTGGCGGCAGCAGAAATTGCTGATAAATATATTAAGTCAAGTGCTCATGGGGGGTGCAAACACCAAAGAAAGGGAAATCCTTCTGTTCCCCAGGTTAAAAGAGGGGAGGGGTCTAGGAATAAACCTAACCCCAACTTGGTTAAAAAACCTCAAGGGAGCCCAGAGTTTAAAACCTCTTACCCTAAGGGAAAGCAGACAGTCTGTCATCACTGTGGGGCTCCTAGCCATATAAAACGAAATTGCCCAAAATGTAAGGTCACCCCACAATTGGCACCCACCATCCTAACCGTGAGTGCCAATACTACGAACTTGATCCCAGAAAAAGTTGCAAAAGAGGAGACTGGCCTCATAAACTATATTAGGACTGAGTCTTGGAAAGGTAGTAAAGAATTTATTAATATTTTTGAGTTGGCTGAATTTCCTGTGCCTGTGCCCCTGGCTAAAGTCCACTTGGAGTGGAAGGATTCAAGGGTGATATTGTAGGCATTAGAAATTTACTGCCCACTGATATTTTAATAGGTAATAACATTTTAGCCATGTCTAGTCTTATACCCCAGCCTCAAAGAAAGTATGGATCTGATTCACCTGCTATGTCTGTGGTCAGCAGGGAAGGCTGCAAAGGGGAGGGAAATGCCCTCAGTTGCCTTCTGAAGAGGATTTGAAATTTTTTCTGTTGTGCCAGAGTTTGCTCTGGGCTTAAGTGAAACTCAAAAGGAGTTTGTGACTTCCCAACAAGTGGACCCTTCTCTGAACAAGAGAGGGTTACAGCTCAGAATGATGCCTCGGCTGGGGAAGGAAAAGGTGGGGACTCAGTTGTGAGCCCCATTCTAGACAGCATGACAAAGGACTGTTACTGGTTTGTATTGTTTTATTTACTTTGTTTATATTATATTCTTAAATTATTCATTAGTCAACTGCAGAAAGGCTTTATTGCCCAAGGACCTGGGCCAGGCCTGTTCCTGCACCCACTGAAGTCTGTTTCTGTTCTGCAAATTTATGTTTGATGTCAAGGGGAGGAGAACCAGCCCCAGTAACAAGACAATTGGCAACAAATCCTCAGAGACAGAGAAGAAACGGCTTTGGGACAACTTGTTGAATGGCTGCTAGCCATGGAGCTTCTCTAGCTCTGAGCAATCATGAGCACACTGCCCAAAGACCACGGTTTTGCTATGGATCTGTAACCTGGGGGTTGCCAATGTAAGTTTTAAGTCTGATTCAGTAAGAAAAACTGAAGAAAGGCCAGGAGGACATACACCTCACCCCGATTGTTTGGGCAGGGCAGACACACACCTTGCCCTGACTGTATTTTATACCAAACTTGCTTTTACAGGAGGAAGTTCCTGTGACATTGACACCAGGGTAACCCTCACATTGGAAGTTACCTCAAAAGCTGCAGGAGCGCCATGGGACTTAGAGCCTAACTCTACATTTCCATGTCCAATGCAGGAAAAGGTAGATGTGACAAGTGGAGAATGCTGGATTAGAGCAGGGACCAACACGGCTGTACCCACTACCTTAACCCTGCCTGTCTGAGAGGGAGCTCCTCCTGCCTCGGCCAAACACCCACCATACGCAGGTATTTAACATGTGGACTTGAAGCAGTGACCCCACTGCAAGGCCTGCTGAATAGTGACTGAAAAAATCAAACCCAGCCCACAATCATGCGGGGGCACCATTCAGCCCACCCATTACCAGGTATAAACAACTGGGGACTGAGAGAACTAGAAATCCTCCTGGCTGCAGGGGACAATTCTGCCTCCCACCGAGGGGCCGGAGGGAATTTACCTCCCCCTGGGACCGGTTATTCCACAACTGTCCACTGTGGGGTCTCTGGCACCTTCCCTGAGGCAGCTGGCGTCTGCCCCCTCTGCCGGAGGCACCGCACTGCTGGGATGGGGGGTAGCCCCAGGACACCGCTGCTGCCCCCTCTGCCCCGTGGGGTGGTGTGTGTGGGGGTAACACCTGGACACTCCCTGCCCCTCTGCCCTGTGGGGCGGTGTGTGTGTGGGGGGGTAACCCCAGGACGCTCCCTGCCCCCTCTGCCCCGTGGGGCGGTGAGCGTGGGGGGGAGGGGGTAATCGCTGGACACTCTCTGCCCGCTCTGCCCCATGGGGCGGTGTGTGTGTGGGGGTAACCCCAGGACGCTCCCTGCCCCCTGTGCCCCGTGGCGGGGGGTGACCCCAGGACGCTCCCTGCCCCCTGTACCCCGTGGGGGGGTGACCCCAGGACGCTCCCTGCCCCCTGTACCACGTGGGGCGGGGGGTGACCCCAGGACGTTCTCTGCCCCATGTGCCCCGTGGGGCGGTGTGTGTGTGTGTGTGGGGGGGGTGACCCCAGGACACTCTCTGCCCCCTGTGCCCCGTGGGGCGGTGTGTGTGTGTGGGGGGGAGGGGGTGACCCCAGGACGCTCCCTGCCCCCTGTGCCCCGTGGCGGGGGGTGACCCCAGGACGCTCCCTTCCCCCTGTGCCCCGTGGGGGGGATGACCCCAGGATGCTCCCTCCCCCTCTGCCCCATGGGGCGGTGTGTGTGTGTGGGGGGTGTGGGGGTGACCCCAGGACGCTCCCTGCCCCCTGTGCCCCGTGGGGGGGCGGTGACCCCAGGACGCTCCCTGCCCCCTGTGCCCCGTGGGGGGCGGTGACCCCAGGACGCTCCCTGCCCCCTGTGCCCCGTGGGGGGCGGTGACCCCAGGACGCTCCCTGCCCCCTGTGCCCCGTGGGGGGGCGGTGACCCAGGACGCTCCCTGCCCCCTGTGCCCCGTGGGGGGGTGACCCCAGGACGCTCCCTGCCCCCTGTGCCCCATGGGGGGAGGGTGACCCCAGGACGCTCCCTGCCCCCTGTGCCCCGTGGGGGGGTGTGACCCCAGGACGCTCCTCTGCCCCCTGTGCCCCGTGGGGCGGTGTGTGGGGGGTGACCCCAGGACGCTCCCTGCCCCCTCTGCCCCGTGGGGCGGGGGGGGGGGTGACCCCAGGACGCTCCCTGCCCCCTGTGCCCCGTGGCGGGGGTGACCCCAGGACGTTCTCTGCCCCCTCTGCCCCGTGGGGGGGGGGGGGGGGGTGACCCCAGGACGCTCCCTGCCCCCTGTGCCCCGTGGCGGGGGGTGACCCCAGGACGCTCCCTTCCCCCTGTGCCCCGTGGGGGGGATGACCCCAGGACGCTCCCTGCCCCCTGTGCCCCGTGGGGGGGGGTGACCCCAGGACGCTCCCTGCCCCCTGTGCCCCGTGGGGGGGCGGTGACCCCAGGACGCTCCCTGCCCCCTGTGCCCCGTGGGGGGGGGGGTGACCCCAGGACGCTCCCTGCCCCCTGTGCCCCGTGGGGGGGGGTGACCCCAGGACGCTCCCTGCCCCATGTGCCCCGTGGGGCGTGTGTGTGACCCCGAGGGGTGACCCCAGACGCTCTCTGCCCCCTGTGCCCCGTGGGGGGGGGGGGGGGGGTGACCCCAGGACGCTCCCTGCCCCCTCTGCCCCGTGGGGGGGGGGGGGGGGGGGCGGTGACCCCAGGACGCTCCCTGCCCCCCTGCCCCCCGTGGGGCGGTGTGGGGGGGGGTGACCCCAGGACGCTCCCTGCCCCCTGTACCCCGTGGGGGGGGTGACCCCAGGACGCTCCCTGCCCCCTGTACCCCGGGGGGGGGGGTGACCCCAGGACGCTCCCTGCCCCCTGTGCCCCATGGGGCGGGGGGTGACCCCAGGACGCTCCCTGCCCCCTGTACCCCGTGGGGGGGGGGTGACCCCAGGACGCTCCCTGCCCCCTGTACCCCGTGGGGGGGGCGGGTGACCCCAGGACGCTCCCTGCCCCCTCTGCCCCATGGGGCGGTGGGGGGTGGGGGTGACCCCAGGACGCTCCCTGCCCCCTCTGCCCCATGGGGTGGGTGGGGGGGCGGTGACCCCAGGACGCTCCCTGCCCCCTCTGCCCCATGGGCGTGGGGGGGGCGGTGACCCCAGGACGCTCCCTGCCCCCTGTGCCCCGTGGGGGGGGGGTGACCCCAGGACGCTCCCTGCCCCCTGTGCCCCGTGGGGGGGGCGGTGACCCCAGGACGCTCCCTGCCCCCTGTGCCCCGTGGCGGGGGGGTGACCCCAGGACGCTCCTCTGCCCCCTCTGCCCCATGGGGCGGGGTGTGTGTGTGTGGGGGGAGGGGGTGACCCCAGGACGCTCCCTGCCCCCTGTGCCCCGTGGGGGGGCGGTGACCCCAGGACGCTCCCTGCCCCCTGTGCCCCGTGGGGCGGTGTGTGTGTGTGTGTGTGTGTGGGGGGGGGTGACCCCAGGACGCTCCCTGCCCGCGCTGCCGGAGGCGCCGCGCTGCCGGGGTGGGGGTAGCCCCGGGGCACCGCGGTCCCCCCCCCGCGGCGCCGAGCCGGAGGGTCGCGGGGAGCCCGGGGCGGAGCCGCTGCCGCCGGGATCCGCACGCCCCGGGTGGGGCCCTGGCCCGCGGCCCGCCCGCGCCCGCGCCGCCCTTACCCGGCTCGCAGCGCCCGCTCCGCTCCGCTGCGCTCGGGGCCTGGCCGGTCGCGCCGGGCCTGGGCGGCGCCGGGCGGAGCGGGGCGGGGTGCGGGCGGCCCCGCTCCGCCCAGAGCCGGCCCCGGGGCAGGGGGCGGGGGATTCTGCCTCCCGGAGGCTGTGCCGGGGTCCCCGCAGCCGCCCGCCCTGGCTCGCCGGGGCAGAGCGTCCCCCCGGGCGGGGAAAGCGGGGCCGGCGGGGCACGTCGTTGCCCGCAGCAGCAGCAGGACTCGCCTTGCAGCGGGGCGGGCCGGAGGGGCGCGCCGGGAAACGTTTTCAAACCCGACCGGCCAAAGCCCCGAACCCTGGCCCGAGCCCCGGTGCGCCCCACTGGGCAGGAGCCCCGGCCAGCCCCGTGGGGTGCAGCCCCAGACCCCGCTGCCCGGGAGCTGAGCTCCGGGGCCCCGAAGCGGGAGCGGGTTTCCAGGAGCGGCTCTGTGGGAGCGGGACAGCAGGACGTGGGGCACCTGGGAGAGAAACGCAGTTATTCCAGCGTCAGCCTTGGTGGGCCGCAGCCCACTTCACTGGCTGCAGAGACTGGAGCATAGGGTGAGAAGAGGGGTCGGTCGGTACACACAGGGAAAGCGTGCAAAGAAAGGGGCTAATTAGTTAAGCTGAGCTATCATCAGCAGGAGAAGGCCCTTGAGCCAGTTATTGCCCCTTGTTTTTTCCTACACCCCCCCCCCCCACGTTCTTGTTAAACCCTGGATTTGTGCTGGAAATGGCCCACCTCGATTATCAGACGCATTGTAAGGAGAGTGGTCACTTTAGATAGGTTTCAGAGGAGCAGCCGCGTTAGTCTGTATTCGCAAAAAGACAAGGAGGACTTCAAAAAAAACTTTTTTTTTAATATTACCTCCTTTCAAAAACCCCCTATTATTTGGGGAGGGGGTTTTAGGTGGTTTGGGGAGGGTTGTCTGTTTCGCAAAGACAAGGAGGACTGGTGGCACCTCAGAGACTAACCCAGTTATTTGAGCATGAGCTTTCCTGAGCTACATCCGATGCAGTGAGCTGTAGCCCACGAGAGCTCACGCTCAAGTAAATGGGTTCGTCTCCAAGGGGGCACACGGCCTCCTCTTCTCCTTGCGAATACAGACTACCGCGGCTGCTGCTCGGAAAGCTGACAAGCGGGTGTGAGGACACTTAGCCTGGGCAGAGTCAATCTGGGTGCTCAGTCCTAGACTCTCAGGGGGGCATCTAGTCCTGCCCCCCGCTCCAAGCAGGGCCAAGCCCCCACGTTTGCCCCAGATCCCTACAGGGCCCCCTCACGGATGGAGCTCGCAACCCTGGGTTTTGCAGGCCAGGGCCCAAACCGCTGGGCTCTCCCTCCCCCCTTTGAATTAATATGCAAACCAGATGCCATTAACTTGGGCCTGACTAGGGACTGGGCGAGGCTGGGCCATTGCACCCATTGAATCGCTTGCCCCCTGGCCAGCGCCCTCAGGCGTTTGGGCACTGGCCCGCTCAGCGCAGGGCTGCGAGTTCAATCCTTGAGGGGGCCGTGTGGGGATGGGGCAAACAGGGGGGCTCGGCGCTGCTTTGAGCGGGGGGGGGGGACTAGATGCCCTCCTGGGAGTCTGTGGTTCTCGGGGGGGGGGGGGGGCAGCGGAGCCCGGCCGCGGGCGCGAGCCCAGCCTCGAGCCCGCGACCACCCGAAACGCGCCTGCGCATGCGCCGCGCCGCTGGCCTGCCTGGGCGGCAGCCCCGCTCCTGCGCATGCGCCTCCCGGAAGCGCCGGTCGCGGCTCCAAGATGGCAGCGCCCGTCTCCTGAGCGGCGGCGCGGGCGCGCGCGGTGAGCAGCGCCCCGGGCCCGTCCCCGTCCCCGTGGCCGGCCTGCGCTCGGCGGGGGCCCTGCCTGGGGCGCCCCCTGCCGCCGAGCCGGTGCCCTGTGCCCGCCCGCCCGGGGTCTCTCGCGTGCTCCCGGGCCGAGCCTGAACCCTCGGGGGCGGCGGAGCCCGCACACCCCGCGGGGGGGGGTGATAAAACCTCCCCGGAGAGCCCCCGCTGCTGCCTGCCCCCCCCGGTGGGCCTGGCCGGGGGCCTCCCCGTGCGGGCTGGGGGGCCGCTCTAGTGACCCGTAGCCCCCGCGGGGGGGGGCTGATAAAACCTCCCCGGAGAGCCCCCGCTGATGCCTGCCCCCCCCCGGTGGGCCTGGCCGGGGGCCTCCCGGTGCGGGCTGGGGGGCCGCTCTAGTGACCCGCAGCCCCCGCGGGGGGGGGCTGATAAAACCTCCCCGGAGAGCCCCCGCTGCTGCCTGCCCCCCCCCGGTGGGCCTGGCCGGGGGCCTCCCCGTGCGGGCTGGGGGGCCGCTCTAGTGACCCGCAGCCCCCGCGGGGGGGGGCTGATAAAACGTCCCCGGAGAGCCCCCGCTGCTGCCTGCCCCCCCCCCGGTGGGCCTGGCCGGGGGCCTCCCCGTGCGGGCTGGGGGGCCGCTCTAGTGACCCGCAGCCCCCGCGGGGGGGGGGCTGATAAAACGTCCCCGGAGAGCCCCCGCTGCTGCCTGCCCCCCCCCGGTGGGCCTGGCCGGGGGCCTCCCCGTGCGGGCTGGGGGGCCGCTCTAGTGACCCGCAGCCCCCGCGGCTCTAGGGTCGCCGGCCCCGGCGCTTCCCGGAGGAGCCCGGCTGGCCTCAGCGCTGTTGTCGTGGCAAGGCGTTACCCACAGGAGACAACAAGAAAATAAATAAAAATCCTGCTGGTGGTTGTGATCTTGCCCCTGTTCAGGTTGCTGGGGTGCCCCTTGCTCTTGTGTCCGGGTAAGGCTGGAGAGCGGTGACTGCCTTTTCCCCTTTCGCCCGCTCGCTTTCAGCAGTTCCTGCTCACCTTCTCTCTAAAGTACGTAGCCCCCTCCTTCCTTGGACTCGCTCTTTCCTCGGGAGGCAGTCACATAAGTCCTTTCTCAGGCTCGGTTTACAGCTCCCTCCCTAAAAGAACAGGAGGACTTGTGGCACCTTAGAGACTCACCAATTTATTTGAGCATAAGCTGTAGGTCACGAAAGCTCATGCTCAAATAAATTGGTGAGTCTCTAAGGTGCCACACGTCGTCCTTTTCTTTTTGCGAATACAGACTAACACGGCTGCTACTCTGAAACCAGCTCCCTCTCTGTGTGTTTGTTTTAATAGCTCTTTGGGGGATTGCATTTCTCCAGTTCCTGTGTTGCTGATACGATGAGAAATTTGAAGTTACTGTACGCTCGAGAGCATGGGCCTGTCCCGGCTTTGGGGAGTCCTCAGTGTTTCTGCCTCCGTGCAGACCAAGGGACGCTGCTCATTGGCTCAGAATATGGGATCCTGGAGCTGGACCCAGCCATTCGAGGGGTGAGTTACTGGTGGAAGTTCTAAAGCTTTGTTTAGGGCTGTTTTCCTGATGCTAATTGTGGGTTCATACTTGCAGGATGGTAAATATTTTCATGCTCATTGACTTACTGGGCATTTAGAGCACTCTGAGTGTTACAGGACTGGACCTGGTGACCATACTTTTTTTTTTCTTGTGATCACAAAGAGCAGTAGGTTGGCATTGCCTGTTTGGAAATGCGTTCCGCTGCAGTGTCTTGTGTTCCATCCAACTATACAGATCGAATCATCTCTTTGGATTGTAAACGCCTTCGTTTCAGTCCTTGTCCCCGCCAGGTTCTATACAGCAGTGAGCACACTATATCTGCAGCACTGAGCGCACACAGACTTTGTTTAGTGCCGACATTATGTCTGCAGTACTGCAGGGTACACCAGCAAAAGTCTCAGCTCTGAAGAAAGCTTGCAGTCTAGAAGGCAGACGTGCATAATAATGAAAATGTGGATTTATGTCCTGGTAAAGTTACATGTCCTGTCCAATTCAGTTCTTTCTGCCACTGCAGTCTGAGGGTGCTAAAACAGGAAAGTTGGAGAACTTCTCACTGAATTCATAAAAGAGGCGTTTAGATTGGTGCCTGGTGAAGTTCCCCTTCTACTGTACAGGAATGATAGGAATCAACCAAGCTGAATAGACATAAGTACAAAGCATGTTATGAGCCATTATTTTTGACTGCTTAGTTGAGGCTCATAAGCAAAGAACTGCCATAGACATGAGCTTATCCATGAGTGAACTCATCTGTAGCCCTGTTCCTGCAGCGTGCAGGAGCTCCGCTCTAAGCCTGCACAGCTCAGTTGCTCCTCAGAAGACTATATCTTCATTAAAAAGGGGGCTATACTAAGAATCTGTCAACGGAGGCCCAGAGAGACCAAGTACCTTGCCCACAGACACAGTGAGACACAAGAGCCGAGGTCAGACCCAGAACTCTGACTGTAACCATTAGACACGTTGTCTTGTAACCAGTGCATCAAGTTCTCTTGGCTTTTAAAGCACTCTGATGCCTAATGGCTAAAGCATCTGAGGTGCATTATCAGGTTCGGTCAGGCTTTGTGTGGATGCTGCTTCATTCTCGCCCCTTGCTTCTGCCACTCCTGCTCAGCTTCTTGGCTCTGCCATAGGCAGAGTCGATATGCCTCCCCCTCCCATTTTTTCATAGTTCTCAAGGGCAGAAGGAGCCTTAATTATATAAAGGGACACAGCTGAGTACTTAAATTCTGACATTGAATCTAGTTTGGAGCCATTCCATTATGGAGGTGTGATGGAGTGTACTTGCCCTGCACTGGACAAGGAGGCGTTATCCGTGACTCTGGGCAGAGGAAGCCATGCCCCCTTCACCCCTGCTGTGCATGCTCCAACTGGAGCATCAGTACAAAAGGGAGCAGCCCAGCTCAGTCAGGGTGGACCACGGAGGAGAGAGGCTCCTTCCCGGGAACACCAGATTGTGGAGGCTAGGGACGCCGAGACACGGGCGGATATCTGGCTACCTGCAGACGCCCGAGAGACGTTGGAACCGTCAGGTGCCTCACAGGCCAAAGACCCCAGACACCCATGGACCAAGTCACTGGAAGACTGAGTAAGAAGCAGCCCAGGGAGACTAGCTATTGATCCGGTTGTAGAACCAAGCAATAAGTCAGTGTGTTTTGGTCAGATCCCCGCTCACCCAGTGATGAATACGCTCTCCGCTGAAAGGGCCCTGAGCTGGGACCTGGTGGACTAGGGAGGGCCTGGGTCCCCCTACCACTGGCCACCATCTCCGGCCATCAGGCCACATAGTCTGGCTAAAGGAGGACAGCCATATTACCGCTGGCCACTAGGCCACACAGCCTGGCTAAGGAGGATAGTCATATTGACTCTGGCCTCTGGCCCATGCAGCCCTGTGAGGAAGGGCAGCCGTATTGACTCTGGCCACTAGGCCTCACAGCCTTCGAGGGAGGGGCACCATATTGATTCTGGTCATTAGCCATGACTGCCCTGAGGCTAAGGGTGGGCAGGTGAACTCAACTACGGGGCTATAATGCCCTTTTCCCTGCCTCAAAGGGGGACAGGATGTACTTGCCCCACGACAGGGGAGTAGATGATCTCAGGTATTTAAAGTTGTCATTTCAACCCTCAAACTTCCTTTTAAGCAGGGTGGATTTGACACTAGTCAGGAAGACTCAATTTAATCATGGCTTTCTACATAAAAGTGCATTCTTGGTGGTGGCTATAACCTTAATACATATTCTTCACAACTCAGAGATAGATGTAAGTTTAATTTTTAGTAGGTACACACTGTACATTTTTAAAGCAATTTATTTTGAAAACTTTTCAGATTCGTTTTCTGATATAGCTGTAAACCTAATGATTGTTTGGTTATTTCATTTACCAAAGGTAATTGAACCAGATATTTTTGAAGTCATTGGGAGGTGAACTATCTCCAGTTCAACAGGTTAATCGTTAATATTTGGAGGATTTTCTTGCCATGCTGTATTAGGAGGAGAACATCACCAGACAGACATTTAAATTGTTTTATTTAACTAAAACAGCAACTTTACGTATTCTGGATTTTTTTCTTCAACAGAAAACATAATATTTTAACAAAACAAGCATATGAATTTTTCAATTTAGATAAACGTTCAAGTTTTTTAAAATCAGGTTTGTTTTTGTAAAAATTTTTTTCATCAATTACCTCTTTTTGTAATCTTCTGATTCTTATCACAAACTTATCTATGGTGGTTTCTGGATGATGGAGGGTTTTTTTCTTTTTTGCTACATGTCATACACTGTGGCTATGTAACATACATGATGTGACTGGAACACTATCATTGGCAAATAACACTGAAACTATGGAAAATGATGGTGATCTTGAAGGTGGATAGTCTTCAGAATCCTGTATGTTGAGGATGGATTCTCCTAAACAAAATAAGTCAATACGGTTATTTAATTATTATTACCATTCTGCTCATTTAGTATTACTCATTGCATTCACTGATACTCAGTACTACTTTAAAGGTGAAATTGTAAAAGAAAGATCTGCCTATTTCAGCTATTTATTTTTTCATCACAACTGCATTTAAGATTATAGTACCATAGAGTAACAACTATATTTTTTGCTCAAACATGAGAATTCAAGAATAGTCCAGAAGGAAGACAGGCAGTTCTTAAGAAAGAAGTATGAAATTAAAAAGTTTACCAACCTGATGAACGTGTCTGAACATGCAGGATCTTCAATGCAGTTTCCTCCTGAGAAACATAGAATCATAGAATATCAGGGTTGGAAGGGACCTCAGGAGGTCATCTAGTCCAACTCCCTGCTTAAAGCAGGACCAAGCCCCAACTAAATCATCCCAGCCAGGGCTTTGTCAAGCCTGACCTTGAAAACCTCTAAGGAAGGAGATTCTACCACTTCCGTAGGTAACCCATTCCAGTGCTTCACCACCCTCCCAGTGAAAAAGGTTTTTTCTAATATCCAACCTAAACCTCCCCCACTGCAACTTGAGACCATTACTCCTTGTTCTGTCATCTGCTACCACTGAGAACAGTCTAGATCCATCCTCTTTGGAACCCCCTTTCAGGTAGTTGAAAGTAGCTATCAAATCCCCCCTCATTCTTCTCTTCTGCAAACTAAACAATCCCAGTTCTCTCAGCCTCTCCTCATAAGTCATGTGTTCCAGTCCCCTAATCATTTTTGTTGCCCTCCGCTGGATGCTTTCCAGTTTTTCCACATCCTTCTTGTAGTGTGGGGTCCAAAACTGGACACAGTACTCCAAATGTCGAATAGAGGGGAATGATCACATTCCTCGATCTGCTGGCAGTGCCCCTACTTATACAGCCCCAAATGCCATTAACCTTCTTGGCAACAAGGGCACACTGTTGACTCATATCCAGCTTCTCATCCACTGTAACCCCTAAGTCCTTTTCTGCAGAACTGCTGCCTAGCCATTCGGTCCCTAGTCTGTAGCGGTGCATGGGATTCTTCCTTCCTAAGTGCAGGACTCTGCACTTGTTCTTGTTGAACCTCATCAGATTTCTTTTGGCCCAATCCTCTAATTTTTGTCTAGGTCCTTCTGTATCCTATTCCTACCCTCCAGCATATCTACCACTCCTCCCAGTTTAGTGTCATCTGCAAACTTGCTGAGGGAGCAATCCACACCATCCTCCAGATCATTAATGAAGATATTGGACAAAACCAGCCCCAGGACCGACCCTTTGGGCATTCCGCTTGATACCGGCTGCCAACTAGAGGTGGAGCCATTGATCATTACCCGTTGAGCCCAACAATCTAGCCAGCTTTCTATCTACTTTATTGTCCATTCATCCAGCCCATACTTCTTTAACTTGCTGGCAAGAATACTGTGGGAGACGGTGTCAAAAGCTTTGCTAAAGTCAAGGAATAACACGTCCACTGCTTTCCCCTCATCCACAGAGGCAGTTATCTCGTCATAGAAGGCAATCAGGTTGATCAGGCATGACTTGCCCTTGGTGAATCCATGCTGACTGTACCTGATCACTTTCCTCTCCTCTAAGTGCTTCAGAATTGATTCCTTGAGGACCTGCTCCATGATTTTTCCAGGGACTGAGGTGAGGCTGACTGGCCTGTAGTTCCCCGGATTCTCCTTCTTCCCTTTTTTAAAGATGGGCACTACATTAGCCTTTTTTCCAGTCATCTGGGACCTCCCCTGATGGTTATGAGTTTTCCAAGATAATGGCCAATGGCTCTGCAATCACATCCGCCAACTCCTTTAGCACTCTCGGATGCAGCGCATCTGGCCCTATGGACTTGTGCTTGTCCAGCTTTTCTAAATGGTCCTGAACCACTTCTTTCTCCACAGAGGGCTGGTTACCTCCTCCCCATGCTGTGCTGTCCAGTGCAGCAGTCTGGGAGCTGACCTTGTTTGTGAAGACAGGCAAAAAAAAGCATGGCGTACATTAGCTTTTTCCACATTCTCTGACAATAGGTTGCCTCCCTCATTCAGTAAGGGGCCCACGCTTTCCTTGACCACCACCTTGTTGCTAACGTACCTGAAGAAACCCTTCTTGTTACCTTTCATATCCCTTGCTAGCTGCAACTCCAAGTGTGATTTGGCCTTCCTGATTTTGCTCCTGCATGCCTGAGAAATATTTTTATACTCCTCCCTGGTCATCTGTCCAATCTTCCCCTTCTTGTAAGTTTCTTTTTTGGGTTTAAGATCAGCAAGGATTTCACTGTTAAGCCAAGCTGGTCGCCTGCCACATTTACTATTCTTTCTACACATCGGGATGGTTTGTTCCTGCACTCTCAATAAGGATTGTTTAAAATACAGCCAGCTCTCCTGGATTCCTTTCCCCCTCATGTTGTTCTCCCAGGGGATCCTGCCCATCAGTTACCTGAGGGAGTCAAAATCTGCTTTTCTGAAGTCCAGGGTCCATATTCTGCTGCTCTCCTTCCTTCCTTATGTTAGGATCCTGAACTCAACCATCTCAGGGTCACTGCCTCCCAGGTTCCCATCCAGTTTTGTTTCCCCTACTAATTCTTCCCGGTATGTGAGCAGCAGGTCAAGAAGAGCTCTGCCCCTAGTTGGTTTCTTCAGCACTTGCACTGGGAAATTGTCCCCTATACTTTCCAAAAACTTCCTGGATTGTCTGTGTACTGCTGTATTGCTCTCCCAGCAGATACCAGGGTGATTGAAGTCTCCCATGAGAACCAGGGCCTGCAATCTAGTAACTTCTGTTAGTTGCCGGAAGAAAACCTTGGCTACCTCATCCCCCTGGTCTGGTGGTGTATAGCAGACTCCCACCACGACATCGCCCTTGTTGCTCATACTTCTAAACTTAATCCAGAGACTCTCAGGTTTTTCTGCAGTTTCATACCAGAACGGAAGGAACACGTCTCATGATGTTGTTTCATTCGGGCAACCAGGCCTTGCATTTCTTTGTTGCACTGTTTGCATTTTGCACACATACCAGTCTTATGGACAGGTAGAGGAACTTCATTAAAATATTCCGAAACTGGGTCTCTTTTATGGCCAGCTGACATTATAGGTTTTCCCTTCTAGTGAGAGAATGGTATGGTAGATCTCAAATCAATGAAGGCTACACTCACAAAGACCTCAAGGCTTCTGGAATATGCTGCTCAAACAGTTTCACTTTTGTTTCTACTGCCCGTCCCTCCCTTCTCACATTTATCTCCAGACTTCTTCTCCTTGTCCAGATCTATTCTGCCCCCAACGATCTTCTATTCATTGAACTTTTTGAAACTGCACTTTCAGAGAGAGGTAAGGGATTGACTCTGTGTACACAAATTTGCAGAGGGACAATAGGGTTGAGGTCTGTTATTTCTAACCTCTATATATTATTGATTGATTTATTTAAAAACATTTTTGCTGTTTAACAAGCTTGTTATCTCTGGAGACACAAATCCACAGTTTGAGAACTGCAAAACTAAGCATCTCTGATGGTATCTTCTAGACTGAGCACTGGGTCCCATTGGGTAGATAGAAAGATTAACCTAAATCTATACAGAAGCCCCTTGAACCCCATAAGATTGGGTCCCTAATCCATGAACTGTTGGAATTTATTTACAAAACTTTTCTTAAACATTACATGAATATATTATCTCTTACTGTAGAATAAGAATTTATAATCCCTATTTCATGATGAGATATCTTTGAGCTATAATGTATCTTAATTAAAACTATCTTTGGGTAGGTTTTTTCCTCCAAAAGCATTTTATCAAAAAAATCAGATTTTTTTAATTTTGTTTTTTAAAAAAATCATAGATTTTTATCCACCCTGCTTTTAAGATCAGTGCTACAGCAGGAAGGAAATTGTAACTGCATCGTCGTGGGTCGTGTTACCCCAAGACGCATTTGGCCAATGTTTTGCAAAACTTGTACAAGCAGTGTTGCGTGCTCGTCCCGCTACTACAGCAGCCGTGAACTCGTAGGTAGGACTTGAAAAGGTACAGAAGTTGTCTTGCAGATGAAGATGTAACCCGAATATGGTGTAAATTTCAGTTCCACTCAGAACACAAGGGAAGAGAAGTTTTTCTGTCTTCCTTACGAGCCCTTGCTTTGTGGCAGTGCTTCCTCCGGGAGGGTCTGGGCCCCGTTGTCCCTGGAATCTGTTCGTACTGCACAGATTTCTCTGGGAGGCATGCTGCAGAGCAGCATGAGGCACTTCTCTCCCTTGCTGAGTGCACTCTGTCTGCTGCAGTCCCAGGCTGCAGCTTTTGACCAAGTGACTGAATACTCTGAAAGCTCGACCCCTCCCATTTTGCTTAAGAGTATGCTTTGCTACTGCCCTGCAGCTAGCTTGCTTCCCCCGTACTCTATTCTGTAACTCTGTTGATGGAAGAGTTCTCATACTTCCCTGGTGTCAGGTGATGAGGAAGGACACTTCTATAGAATCTCCATGCGATTCTAGTGACACCGTCAACCTGAAATCTAGTGAGTGACAAAAATCAAGTTAAGTCATTAAATATGCTCGCCCTGCTCTGACATGCGCGCGCACACACATCACCTGCCAGTATGCATGGTTTTACAGTCACCGTTTTAGGATTTATCATTGCTTTTCTCTCCTCATTTGCTGTGTGAAAGGCCCGCACAGGTCAGGGAAGCTGATTGACTATTTCCGCTGTACAAGTGCAACTGGTGCTAAAAATGTGCTCTCCAGTGTACCTAGTAAAGACGCTAAGGAAGAGGAGAGGAGGCTTTTCTCTAATCTTCGAGCTATAGTATTCTGATGTGTAGTCTGTAAAACCAGCATGTGAAAACATTTCAGTCATGTGTATTTAAGGTGATGCTATCCTTCTGCTGTCTATGTGATCCTTCAGAAACATTGGAGCAAATTCAGCAGGAACTTGCACCTTCTTATAGTCCATTTGATATGGGGGGCATAGGGGCCATAAAATGATACTTAATGGGACACGTTCTGTGAAGGAACATTGCCATTTGTTGATTGATCTTTCACCTAAATAATCAGTTTGAAAAGCAATGAAATATTCCAGTGTAACTGAGAATAAAGTCAGGTATTTCCCTGTCTGATGTCTGAGTTGCCTGGCTCAGTGGTGGTGAGTTCTATTAAATCTTACTGCTGCATGTGAGGTAATATTTGTGCTGTATTTCTTGGAGATGTTGGGTGCCTAGAGTGTATAGATAGTTACCCCCCCCGCTCCCCCTCCAGGATTTGTATAAATCTAAACAAAGTAACGTGTCATTTTCTGATTGTCTGTTCTCTCCGTCTAGGTGACGAATGAAATTTCCTTGACTGTGGATGGTTTTCTGCCAGAAGATGGAAGTGGCCACATTGTGGGCATTGAAGATCTGCCAGATCAGGAGTGTGTGTGTGTTGCTACGGCAGCTGGAGATGTTATACTGTGCAACCTCAGTACAAAGCAGGTAAGCTGGAAGGTAAAAGGAGAAGTCATAGGCTGCCTCCATTCTTACCCAGGTAGCCTTACTGACTTCTCTGGGGTTTCTTGGGTGTAACTGAGGGCAGAATTTATATAACTTGGAAGTGTTGGTCATCCAGTTAATTCCTTGACAATGAAAAGTAATGAAGCATTGGGAACTATGCCCCTACCCCAATGCCTGCACCGGGAGTCCTACTGAAATCGGTTAATTTGTTAACCTCCGAGCAAAATGTTATTTAAAAACAAAGCTGAATTATAAACCTAACATATTTATCAGTTAGTGCAGAACATCTTCAGAGAAAACTAATGTATATTAGAATCATGTTTCTTATGTATAGATCTCATTTAAAGACTAAAACGTTTACGTTCCATGATTAAAGGTCATAAAACGTAACTGCCAGGCAACATTAATGAGAAACCAGAACCGTTTAGCCCAGGGAATAGCGCAGTGGACTGGGACGTCAGACTTTGTTTGGGGTGGGGTTCTAGTCCATGCTCTGCTATGGATTTGTGTGCGATCTTGGGCAAGTTGCTTAAACTCACTAGCGTCCTATCTATAATGACGCTTCCTGAAGATCTGCTATTGTACTCCAACTGGTGCAGCTGCAAAGGAAGTAGCAGCAAGGGGAGGGCTAGAATAGGCAGGGCAAGCTCCAGGGTTAGGTGACACCCTGACAGCCAGTCTGTGCTGAAACTTGGATAGCTGCTATTTCCATTTCAGCCAACTTTGTTCACATGTGGCATATTTTGCAAATGTCACTCAGACTTTAATAAAAAAAAAAGCGTATTCTGAAGACTGTGTAAAGTATTGTCATTTTAGTGTATGCAAGATCATGTCCTATAATATCTATTAACAACTTGTCTAATGCGCTAGAGATGATATTTTCTGGCATGAGCACTAGGGTCAGAGTTAAGGTTTAGCTTCTGATCTTGTATGTCTTGGCTTTACAGATTGATGTCTCAGCCTTAACGTTGTTTTAATGCTTACTGTTTTTGCTTGGAATATATTTTGGTGTCTTGAAATTCACTGTGTGTGTACTGAGACTCCTTGTGTGTAAGACTGAGTCATTTTGCAGGTATCTGGAGTTTCCCTTCTCTTCACCAAAACGGATTGGGCCTGTTACCAGAGCACAGCTCTGGCAATCATGAGCAGCCACAGCTAGTGCAATTGTCATCTCCCCGAGCTCCTTGTAAATCAGAACAATACATTGGAGAGACATTCCTTTCTTGCTGTTGCATATGTATCACCCATACATACACGAATACCTCACGCTGCTCATTGCTCTCTTACAGCTCGAATGTGTTGGGAGTGTGGACACTGGTCTGACCACCATGAGCTGGAGTCCTGACCAGGAGCTTGTCCTGCTGGTTACAGGTACAGATGATCGTCTGTTTGTAAACTCTGTTGAGCAAATACAAGATAGTTTAGTATAGCCTTTCATAATTTTTCATAGGGCCAAATTCTGCCCCTTTGCTCACCCTGAACTATGCTTGCGTAATCCAGTTACCTGGCCCTGAACAATTATGACACACACACGTTCTGATTTCAGCAGCTTTACAGATCTCTGTCAAGGAAGTAAAATCTGGTGTTGGATCCAGAAAAGCTGGGATAGGTGTGTTAAATTCCTTGCGACAGCCTTCATAGGAGAAATGGCTTCTCATCCTTTCTATTAGAGGCAACAGCAAAAGATAGTCATAAAGCTGAAGCCCAGAAGGGATCACCCGGTGATCTAGTCTGACCTCCTATATAGCACAAGCCATTAACATCACCCAGCAAAACCCGACAAATGAAATTAGTCTCCTGAGGGTTGTAATATATTGGTCTAAACTAGGGCTGTCAAGCGATTAAAAACATTAATCGCGATTAATCGTGCGATTAAAAAACATCCAGCAGTGCATTGTTAAACAATAATAGAATAATATTTAAATAGTTTTGGATGTTTTCTACATTTTCAAATATATTAATTTCAATTACAACACAGAATACAAAGTGCACAGTGCTCACTTCATATTTATTTTTATTGCAAGTATTTGTACTGTAAAAAAACAAATCGTATTTTTCAATTCACCTAAGTACTGTAGTGCAATCTCTTTATTATGAAAATTGAACTTACAAATGTAGAATTATGTACAAAAAAAACCTGCATTCAAAAAAAAACAAGGTAAAATTTTAGAGCCTGCAAGTCCACTCAGTCCTCCTTCTTGTTCACCCAGTCGCTGAGACAAACAAGTTTGTTTACATTTGCAGGAGATAATGCTGCCCACTTCTTGTTCACAATGTCACCTGAAAGTGAGAACAGGCGTTCTCATGGCACTGTTGTAGCTGGTGTCGCAAGATATTTATGTGTTAGCTGCGCTAAAGATTCATATACCCCTTAATGTTTCAACTGCCATTCCATACTGATGATGGGCTGTACTCGATAACAGTCCCAAGCAGTGTGGTCCGATGCATGTTCATTTTCATTATCTGAGTCAGATGCCACTAGAAGAAGATTAATTTTCTCTTTTGGTGGTTCGGGTTCTGTAGTTTCCGCATGTGAGAGTTGCTCTTTTAAGAATTCTGAAAGCACGCTCCACACCTCATCTCTCTCAGATTTTGGAAAGCACTTCTGATTCTTAAACCTTGGATCGAGTGCTGTAGCTATCTTTAGAAATATCACATTGGTACCTTCTTTGTGTTTTGTGAAATCTGCAGTGAAAGTGTTCTTAAAATGAACAACATGTGCTGGGTCATCATCCAAGACTGCTATATCATGAAATATATGGCAGAAGGTGGGTTAAACAGCCAGGAACATACAGTTCTTCCCCAAGGAGTTCAGTCAGAAATTTAATTAACATATTATTTTTTTAATGAGCGTCATCAGCATGGAAGCTTGTCCTCTGGAATGATGACCAAAGCATGAAGGGGCATACGAATGTTTAGCATATCTGGCATGTAAATACCTTGCAGTGCTGGCTACAAAAGTGCCATGCAAATGCCTGTTCTCACTTCCTGGTGACATTGTAAATAAGGGCATGGCTAAACCTGCAGATGTAGAGCACTGGGAGTTAAACCCGCCTTCAGCGAGCGCAGTAGGGAAAGCGCTGCCGTCTGTCCATGCTGACAGCACACTGGCGTGGCCACATTTGCAGCATTGGGAGCAGTGCATTATGGGCAGCTATCCCAGCATGCAAGTGACTGCGACGTGCTTTTCGAATGGGGGTGGGGTGGAGTGGAGTGTGACGGGAGTGTGTTGTGTGTATGTGGGGGGGAGAGTGGGTTTTTGGGGTGCTGAGTGTCAGCGTGCTGTCTTGTAAGTTCAGACCCCCTCACTCACTCAAAGCAATCAGTAAACGTTTGCGTTTTCTCGGAGCTGATAAGCAGCCAGCTTCTCCGAAAGGGAGCTTTAAAAGGGCATTTCCTCATTCCTGCATCCGATTTCACGCAACAATGAGAAGAGTGGCCGCTTGACTTAAGGGGATTATGGGACATTTCTGGAGGCTGATCAGAGCGCAGTAAAGCAACAGCTCGTTCACACTGGCGCTGCAGTGCTCCAGCAGGGGCGCAGGAAATGTTATTCCACTCGCCGAGGTGGAGTACCAGCAGTGCTGTGGCTGCAGAGTCAGAGTGCTCTGCATACCTTGCCAGCGTGGACGGGTAGTGAGCTAGTGCGCCTGGGGCTCCTTTAATGCGCTGTAACTCGCAAGTGTAGCCAAGCCTTAACAAGAGGGCAGCATTGTCTCCTGTAAATGTAAACAAACTTGTTTGTCTTAGCGATTGGCTGAACAAGAAGTAGGACTGAGTGGACTTGTAGGCACTGAAGTTTTACATTGTTTTGGTTTTGGGTGCAGTTATGTAACAAAAAATTCTACATTTGTAAGTTGCACTTTCACAATAAAGAGTTTGCACTACAGTACTTGTATGAGGTGAATTGAAAAATACTATTTGCTTATTTTTACAGTGCAAATATTTGTAATAAAAATATACACTTTGATTACAATTACAACACAGAATACAATATATATGAAAATGTAGAAAAACATCCAAAATATTTAAAAAATTTCAGTTGGTGTTCTATTGTTTAACAGTGCAATTAAAACTGTGATTAATTTTTTTTGAGTTAATTGCATGAGGTAACTGCGATTAATCAAAGCCCTAGTCTAAACTATTGTGTTCCAAAGACAGAACTGGAGGGCCTGAGGTGCCCAAGGTCCCTGGAATGGCAGGGAATTGATTAAGTGACATACACCAAGATAACCCTGGCAAGTGACCCGCATCCCAGGCTGCAGACGAAGGCAAAAAATCCCAAGGTTGCTGCCTATCTGACCTGGGGGGGAAATTTTTCTTGACCCCACATATGGCCTGTTAGACCCTGAGCATGTGAGCAAGAACCAGCCACCTGAGAAAGAGACTTTAGTGCCGCCTCAAAGCATCAGCCCGTACCAGCCAATGTCCTGTCTCCAGCCGTGGCCATCTCTGGTGCTTCAGAGGAAGGAGATGAAAAAACCCCAGAATACTTGGTGGGGGGGAGGGGGAGAGAGAATATCCTTTTCTGACCCTGTGGGTGACCAGCTGAAGACCTGAAGCATGAGATTTTTATGACTATCTGACATGGATCAGGAGGGACTCTAAGAGCTACCAGGCCCTGCTATGCAATTCCTCTTGTACATGTCCAGCTTTCTCTCAAAATTAAGTTGTTTGCCTGCACAGCTCCTACTGGGAGACTTCCAGAACCTCACCCCTCTAATGGTTAGAAACCTTCAAATTTCCAGTCTGAATTTGTTCATGGCCAGTTAATATCTTTTTGGTCTTATGCCAATATTGTCCTTTATCTTCGATAGCTCTTCTCCCTCCCTGTTGCCCCCCCCCCGATGTATTTATAGAGAGCAGTCACATCCCCTCTCGACCTTTGTTTTGCTGGGCTTAGCAAGCCTAACTCTTCCAGTCTCCCCTCATATGATAGGCCCTCCATTCCCCCGATCACTTATCTGCACCAGTTCCGGTTTGAATTCATCTCTCTTGAACGTGGGTGATCAGAATTGTACGGGCTCCAGATGAGGTCTTACCAGTGCCTTGTAAAATGGCATTACTACTTCTCTCTCTCTCTCTCGAATATGTCCTGCTTGATGCATCATAGCATCATATTTGCCTCTTTCGTAACTGCATTACATTGTCATCCTGTTATCGACCAACACACCCAGGTCTCTTTCCTTTTCTGTCACTTAGAATCATAGAATATCAATGTTAGAAGGGACCTCAGGAGGTCATTTAGTCCAACCCCCTGCTCAAAGCAGGACCAACCCCAACTAAATCATCCCAGCCAGGGCTTTGTCAAGCCTGACCTTAAAAACCTCGAAGGAAGGAGATTCCACCACCTCCGTAGGTAACGCATTCCAGTGCTTCACCACCCTCTTAGTGAAAAAGTTTTTCCTAATATCCAACGTAAACCTCCTTCACTGCAACTTGAGACCATTACTCCTTGTTCTGTCCTCTTCTACCACTGAGAACAGTCTAGATCCATCCTCTTTGGAACCCCCTTTCAGGCAGCTGAAAGCAGCTATCAAATCCCCTCTCATTCTTCTCTTCTGCAGACTAAACAATCCCAGTTCCCTCAGCCTCTCCTCATAAGTCATGTGTTCCAGTCCCCTAATCATTTTTGTTGCCCTCCACTGTACGCTTTCCAATTTTTCCACATCCTCCTTGTAGTGTGGGGCCCAAAACTGGACACAGTACTCCAGATGAGGCCTCATCAATGTCAAATAGAGGGGAAAGATCACATCCCTCGGTCTGCTGGCAATGCCCCTACTTATACATCCCAAAGTGCCATTGGCCTTCTTGGCAACAAGGGCAATCTGTTGACTCATATCCAGCTTCTCCTCCACTGTAACCCCTAGGTCCTTTTCTGCAGAACTGCTGCCTAGCCATTCGGTCCCTAGTCTGTAGCGGTGCATGGGATTCTTCCTTCCTAAGTGCAGGACCCTGCACTTGTCCTTGTTGAACCCCATCAGATTTCTTTTGGCCCAATCCTCTAATTTGTCTAGGGCCCTCTGTATCTTATCCCTACCCTCCAGCATATCTACCTCTCCTCCCAGTTTAGTGTCATCTGCAAACTTGCTGAGGGTGCAATCCACGCCATCTTCCAGATCATTTATGAAGATACTGAACAAAACCGGCCCCAGGACCGACCCTTGGGGCACTCCACTTGATACCGGCTGCCAACTAGAGGTGGAGCCATTGATCACTACCCGTTGAGCCCGACAATCTAGCCAACTTTCTATCCACCTTTATAGTCCATTCATCCAGCCCATACTTCTTTAACTTGCTGTAGATGGAAGAGAGAGAGTCTCTCCCTTTTATCATGTCCTTTCTTTCCTCTTGGCTCTTCTCCCTCTCTTCTCCCCCACCCCCCGCCCTCCTCAGAGTCAGGTGGGCATTACCCCATCACAGTCCCAAACTGCCCAAAGGAAGGGGATGACTTTCTCTAGGGTTTAATAGATTGTTTTGTTGCTGCCTAAGCCAGTATCCATTGTTCCTGTGAGGCTGGGCTGGGTTTATCCCATCCATGCCCTGACGAGGTGTGAACTCCAAGAACAGAGAGGCAGAGTTTTTTCATGGGCTTGCTTTAAGCCATGAGGATACATATTCAGCCTCGTAACTATATACATGAAATTATAACCTGTAATCTTATTATAACATTACTGTTACAACCATGCTCAGTGCATGATCAGCCTTCTGAAGACACCCAACGTGACAAACTTTGCATTGGATACCACGCAATCATTTTATAAAGATGAACATGCGGGGGTGTATGGTGTTCCCCCCGAGGTACAGAGCGTCGCAATAGGACTCATTAAAAAGATAACCATGACTTCGTGTGGAGGTGAAATAACACTGAGATTTTACAATTGTAATTGTAGAGGTAAGAAATTCAATACATATGCTGTGTTTTTCACTAGATTTTTGGATGTTACTGCATTGAATTTGTGGTTTTGCTTTAAGACCTTTTCTACTTATAGGAATCACTGTCAACTTAAAACCTACTCAGTTTCAAAGCTGAATTCAAGGTAGTGTTCAAGAACTGCTTGCCTCTGAGTCTCCCTGCCAATTTTTGTGGCTTTACAATCATATTTTCCTATGATTGGGAGTGATTTTTTTTCCTCTGCTTTTGCTATGTGACAAACAGGGAAACTGAATTCAACCTTCTCTCTTGCACTGGAGAATACCACACATGTAATTTTTAATCCTGGCTCGTATGTTTACAATGCAGGTCAGCAAACTCTTATTATGATGACAAAGGACTTTGAACCAATTACTGAAAGGGAGATCCACCAGGATGACTTTGGGGAAGGTGAGTTGTTGCAGTGAATACAGACACAAAAGTATTTCATTGTTCTCTCATAATAATGAATGAAATGAACGAACAGCATGAACTCTGCCCAGGAGGCAGCAGGATACTACTGTCAGGTTAGTAAATTGCAGCTGAGTGTCAATATTTTCTTGGCAGCAAAGGCGCTAAATGTGTCAAACCTGCTGGAAAGTTACCCAGCTGCTGCAGTGCTGTTAGCCACATGTATCTCTAGGAAATGCATCCCATAGAATAGCTCTAACAGCTTGTCCTGCACAATAGGCTAGGAAGGTGATGCTGCCTTGAGGTTCTATTTGTCTGTCAAACTGCATGGTACCATTTTGTAAGTCTTCAGATATTGCAATTCTCTCTCCTGTAGGAAAGTTCATCACTGTTGGTTGGGGTAAAAAGGAGACACAGTTCCATGGATCAGAGGGCAAACAGGCAGCTCATCGCAAGCAAACGGTACTGCACTGACATATGAGGTCTCCATGCTGCCCAGATGGGACAGCTATACAGAGAGAGCTATTGTCTTTCCCTCCATGCTATGCAGAGAAATGACGCTCACACTCTCCTGCTTCTTCCCTGACATTATGTCCCTATTTATCACCTAATTTGTTCACTGTTCACTTGATTTAAGTCAAATACTTCCCCCCCTCTCTACTTCAGTAATGCGGGGTTGAATGGCTGTACTGCTCACTCAGCACCTGACGGGTTCAGAGTGGTTTTCAAACACAACAGGCAACGCAGGTGGTGCTGCCTGGAGTGCAATTTGCCCAGTGCTTCCTGTTATAAGACCCTGTTTTCAGTTGCTTGCATCTTTGCCAAACTTTAACTGTTCGCATTGAAACTTTCACACCAGATGTCTGTCACAGGATTTTTTTTTTAAAGTTTCACCTAAAATGGTTCAACTGTTTTTCTGAGAATGAGATTGGAGAGGAATATTTTGTTTTACCCAAGTTTTTAAAAAGTACTTACTGCTGTTTCATTGGCAAACGATAGCATCCCCAAACTTTGGGGCATAGACTTTGAAAATATGGCAAGGCCTTTGTGTCAGGGATGTGCTTTTTGCTGTTTCCATAAAAATTCACCAAAATTGGTCAAGTTATAAGCCTTCAGGAAGTCTTATTTCATACTTGTTAAAGTGCAGCAGCTAAATTCTCTGAAGATCCTGTTTGCACTGAGCATTCTCTGTCCCCTCATAGCTCCTACATGGCAACTGGACTGCACATACACCATCCCAGGCTTCAGGGGCTGAGCAGGACTTTCCCTACAATTGCTGTCCCTGGCTGCATGGGGCTTTTGTGGCACCGGGCACCAGAGCTGAGAGCAGGGATCATAGAATCATAGAATATCAGGGTTGGAAGGGACCCCAGAAGGTCATCTAGTCCAACCCCCTGCTCGAAGCAGGACCAATTCCCAGTTAAATCATCCCAGCCAGGGCTTTGTCAAGCCTGACCTTGAAAACCTCTAAGGAAGGAGATTCTACCACCTCCCTAGGTAACGCATTCCAGTGTTTCACCACCCTCATAGTGAAAAAGTTTTTCCTAATATCCAATCTAAACCTCCCCCACTGCAACTTGAGACCATTACTCCTCGTTCTGTCATCTGCTACCATTGAGAACAGTCTAGAGCCATCCTCTTTGGAACCCCCTTTCAGGTAGTTGAAAGCAGCTATCAAATCCCCCCTCATTCTTCTCTTCTGCAGGCTAAACAATCCCAGCTCCCTCAGCCTCTCCTCATAAGTCATGTGTTCTAGACCCCTAATCATTTTTGTTGCCCTTCGCTGGACTCTCTCCAATTTATCCACATCCTTCTTGTAGTGTGGGGCCCAAAACTGGACACAGTACTCCAGATGAGGCCTCACCAATGTCGAATAGAGGGGGACGATCACGTCCCTCGATCTGCTCGCTATGCCCCTACTTATACATCCCAAAATGCCATTGGCCTTCTTGGCAACAAGGGCACACTGCTGACTCATATCCAGCTTCTCGTCCACTGTCACCCCTAGGTCCTTTTCCGCAGAACTGCTGCCTAGCCATTCGGTCCCTAGTCTGTAGCTGTGCATTGGGTTCTTCCGTCCTAAGTGCAGGACCCTGCACTTATCCTTATTGAACCTCATCAGATTTCTTTTGGCCCAATCCTCCAATTTGTCTAGGTCCTTCTGTATCCTATCCCTCCCCTCCAGCGTATCTACCACTCCTCCCAGTTTAGTATCATCCGCAAATTTGCTGAGAGTGCAATCCACACCATCCTCCAGATCATTTATGAAGATATTGAACAAAACCGGCCCCAGGACCGACCCTTGGGGCACTCCACTTGATACCAACTAGACATGGAGCCATTGATCACTACCCGTTGAGCCCGACAATCTAGCCAGCTTTCTACACACCTTATAGTGCTTATGGGGATATTGTGTCCTGTGCACACAGTGACCCTTTGCTGGGGCCCAGGGCGTGTGGAGGAGGAAGCAACCTGACTTGAGCACAGAGGATCAAGAGCTGGGTCGGGAGGGAGTAGATTGGGACAAGAAGCCAATGCGAGGATGGGGAGGTGGGGAAGTCTGACATAGGACAAGGAGTTGGGAATGCCTTAAACTGGTTGGGCAAGGAGACTGAGACAAGGTGCCTGGGGGAATAGACTGGAGCTAGCATGAAAGGAAGTCTGTGACTGGTTTGGGGTGCCCCCAGGGGGAAGTGAGGACTGGTTGGGCAAGGAGACTGGGCCTGGAATGTGGAACGTGGGGAGCAGTGGAGACTGGCATTGGGACTAGGAGACAGATTGGAGAGTACAGGGCAGGAAGGGGGTCAGGCTTTGGGGGAAATGGGCAGAAAGGTCTTTGCCCACTAGAGCATGCTCCCCTCCTGAGCCCGGAATGAAGCCCAGGGTCTCTGAGACTCATCATTCCTCAGCTGTCAGAAAATATCTGTGAAACCCATTGGCAAAGTGTCTCATCCCCCTCTAGTGGCTGGTCCCAGTGGCAGATGACAACCTACTACAGTAGAAGCTCAGAGTTACGAACACCTCAGGAATGGAGGTTGATTGTAACTCTGGAATGTTCGTAACTCTGAACAGAAGGTTATGGTTGTTCTTTCTACAGTTTACCACTGAACATTAACTTAATACAGCTTTGAAAGTTTACTATGCAGAAGAAAAATGCTGCTTTCCCTTTATTTTTTTAATAGTTTATTTAACACGGTACTGTACTGTATTTGCTCTGTGTATGTGTGTCTCTGCTGCTGTCTGATTACTTAATTCTGGTTCCAAATGAGGTGTGTGGTTGGCTGATCAGTTGGTAACTCTGGTGTTCATAACTCTGAGATTCTACTCTACTGCTAACAGTTACTCAGCTTACGTGGCAGAGGTCTATGCTTTGGGTCTATGGTTCCAGCCCTGCTGATGGCCTGGATGGGTGTCAAATTCAGAGAGATGTCACATGGTGGAATCTTTTTTTGCCGTTTACTTTTTTAAATCCTAGGAAATAACACAAACAAAATTAAGTTAAAGAAACACTACGATGGCAAAGTCGAGCACTCAATAGTTATGAAAAGCCAGAATGAAGGATACTTGTACAGCCTTAACTCTGCTCCCTTGTGTGTCTACATTATGATAGGTTTCAGAGTAGCAGCCGTGTTAGTCTGTATTCGCAAAAAGAAAAGGAGTACTTGTGGCACCTTAGAGACTAACCATAAGCTTTCGTGAGCTACAGCTCACTTCATCGGATGCATCCGATGAAGTGAGCTGTAGCTCACGAAAGCTTATGGTTAGTCTCTAAGGTGCCACAAGTACTCCTTTTCTTTTTACATTATGATCACGGACAGTTTTTTTCCATAGGACCCCTTGTTCAGCGTACAGGGTGGACACTGGTGACCTAATGAGAGTTAGTCAATATTTTATTTTAGCCACATAATTCAGTGTGTCCCCCATGCCTTATTATTTTTCACACTGTTTGAACTCTGCTATGAAAATAGAATTCTGAATTTCCTCATGGGCTCTTCTCTGGCACTTCATCAGCGAAGTGTGAGCGCTTCCCAAACATTAACAAATGTGTCTTCACAGCACCCCTGTGAGATGTGCAGTGTTATTGGGAATTGAGGCACAGATTAAAGCCAAAATTTTCAAAAGATTCCACTAATTTTGGATGCCCAATTTGAGACACCTGGGGCATGATTTTTCAGCGTATGTGCTATTGTATAGTGCCTCATATGTTCACAGCACAGCTCCCGTTGACCTGAGTAGCAGCTGAGAGCGCTCAGCACTTCTGCAGATCAGACCCCAGGGTCTCAAGTTCAGGGTCCCAGGAAACAAGGAGCACACAGTTAGTGATCCATCACCTCTGAATGTGTTGCTGTTAGTGCCTTGCCCGGCATCGCACAAGAACCCCATGGCAGAGGGAGGGATAGAATCCTGTTCTCCAGTCTGGCATTCAGCTGTTCTAACCAGAAGACCAGCCTCTCTCTTTCTGCAGTTCCCTGTCTAATTCACCGCACACCTTCAAACTTCTGCAACCCATCAGACAGGGTCCCACAGACAACAGCCCCCTTTACTACACAGCCCTGGTTCATCCCTAGAGCAAAGTCTGTCCTGTGCACTGAAAAAGTGAGAAGACCTGTGACTAAAATGGATGTGATTGTCATTAAAGGCTGTATCATAATGCAGGCGCACAAGGGGGCCAAATTAAGGTTGCATGGGCAGTCTTATTACTGGCATTTCCTAACTGTTGAGTGTTTAAGTTTGCCACCTTAACATTCTTTTAACACTGTTTTTGTTGTTGTAATAAACTACATAATGGACTCTTGCAAAGGGTAGGGGCAGCCAATAGCTTTCTGTAGTCAAAGGCCATTCCAGCAGCAGCCATTTCAGACTTACACCTGATCCTTTGGTTTTTCCTGTAAAACTTCAGGAAGTGCCACCTGCTTCATCCTCTGATGATGGCCGACCCCGAGTCACCTGGAGAGGAGATGGGCAGTTTGTAGCAGTGAGCGCTATTTGTCCACAGACAGGTATGGGATTAACTGATGTAGAAAATCTGCCCAGCCCCAAATTGAAGTATTTACCTGTGCTGGTGTGGGAGGCTATCAGTTTATCAAGCTGGCAAAGCTGCCTTACTTTGTCATATTTAGTAATTGGCAATTAAAGAAAAAAGTGGAAGGTTTTTCCTTCCATTTTGGGCCTGGTTTTCAGTATAGATGGGTCTGAGTAAAACTCTGGACCTGAAATGCCCCTGTGCAGGGAAACGGGCCTAGATTCTAACTTCACAGCTCTGCTCTTTCTCACTTTCCATTGACCTAATTGTCTGTCTCTCAGGCCTGGATTCAGAGATTAGCCAAGGTAAGAATTGGTGTGATGGCTATTGCACAAGGAGGGTGGTAATTTCTGCCGCATCCTGGAAAGCAAAGCAGTGGCTAGAATTGCTGGTGTGTTTTATTTCTCCCTCTCACTCCTCCCTGTCTCAGGCTAGGAGCAAACTTTTGAAACCATGCTCTTCTGAAAGCAAACCTTTCCAAACTGCTCCTCCTGCCCATTAGAAACACCCAGCTTATGTGGCTTTTGCCTTGGTTTCCAAACATATTGGGGAGTAAGTAGCTTGCTATCACTAACTGATACTTCACTTGTTCTGATCGAAACTTTGGGTGCTGGGTTCTGGCAGATAGCTGTGATTGTAACTCAGTTTTATGTCCCTACCCAGTTGGGGTGCCAACAGAACGTCCTAGCTTATAGAACCAAAGGGTGCAAGTTAGGCTGTCCTCTGCAGGGCCAAACCCGAGCCTCTCCCATTTGTTATCTGGGGCATTCTGTCAGAACATGAAACTGCTACCAGAGAAGCTGGTCTTCCAAACAGTTTGGATTTTGACCCTCATTTATTTCAAGTGTCAACTGGGCCCCTGTTCTCATTCAGGACCATGCACGGAAGGAGTTAATGTCGCGCATTAAGCAGTCTTTTAATTGTGGCTGGGCCAAAACTGTTCAGCGCATCTCCGAATGCAAAAGAAGGTGTTTTTGGAATCTGAACTCTCAGAAATGCAAGGACATGTGAAACTCAGAGTTGTTTGGGAAGTTTGAATATAGAATGCACATGAGAAACTCCAAGCAGAAAAGAGTTGTTTTCTGACGCTTTAAGCAGGAGAATGGTCACAATCAAATTGTCCAACCTTGTGCAAAATCATGCACAGCTGTGTCATAACTGTGAGTTGCACAGCAATTCCAGTGAGCCTGTCTGCAGCTGCCATTATCTGTGAGGGGTGCCCATACTTTGCATTTGTGCTCTGGGTCTTCATGAAGAAGTTGTCCCTTTCCACCCGCACCTCACCCCACCAAAAGCAGAGTACGCTTCTCCTGAGTTTCCTGTCTCTCTCTCCCCACCCCACCCCTTGTCTCGTGTAGGAGCCCGGAAGGTCAGAGTGTGGAGCAGGGAGCTGGTCTTACAGTCGACAAGTGAGCCTATCCCAGGACTAGAACAAGCACTGGCGTGGAAGTGAGTAATGAGCAGCGTGTGTTCCTGGTGGATGGGGTTGGGTTTTGTTCACTGGCTGAGGTGTTTCCTCAACATCTGTCAGAGCCTGAAGGATCCTTTCCCTCCTTTGTTTTCGTGCTTTGAGCTTCCCTCCTCCTAGTCAAACATGTAAAGAGGAAGAGCTGTTTAGAGCCAATCATTCCTGTTTCCCAGGGCAGCTCCCCCTTCCACTCAGGAGGTGAGGCCAGAGCTGGTAGGAGAGGTTAGGCTCTATGTATGGTCTTATAGCAACACCTCACCAGGCTGGCTCAGCTTTGGGAGGGACAGCAGCACTTATCCTCTCCTGTATTAATATTATTTCTACAGGGGTGTTGTGAACCCGGAGTAAGGTATGCATGGCGGTGCAAGAGCTTTGGCTGGAGGCCTGATAACAGCACATGCTCCAGTCCTCCTTTGGTTTGTGTGCTACTGGGCCAGGGCAAGCAGCTAGATGTGTTCTTTGCCTTAAATTTGCAATCAGTTGTGGTCACTCATGCTTACCCTTGCATTTGTTTTAAGGCCCTCTGGAAGCCTGATAGCATCCACACAGGAGAAACCCAACAAACATGATGTTGTCTTCTTTGAGAAAAATGGTCTCCTTCATGGGGAATTCACCCTCCCATTTCAGAAAGGCCAAGCCAAGGTAGGTGAGGGGTCCAGGCTGTCGCCCTCCTGCGTATGCAGTGCTTGCTGCTACTTGGTGTGGAGACCTGTCTGCTGGGGTCTGCTGAACATGAAGGGTTGTGGTCAGTGGTCAGTAGTGACGGGCCTAGATCTGTGTAACCCCAAATCTAGAGTAACCTGGATCCAGATTTCAAATTAGTTGCTAGTTCTCATCTTGATAGTGATCTGAATCTAAACTGCAGATCCAGATTTGTGTCTAGCTCTGATCTCTGCAGACTGGGCCCATCGTTGCCTTTAGTCACTGACAGACTTTAGTCTCTACAGAAAGAGACGGGAGGTAGGAAGCACCAAATTGTGACTCTTTACAAGAGCGGTTGGGTGAAAGAGTCCCTTGTAGTATGCACGGGCCCAGCTCAGGAGTGCTGGGCTACAGGTGGCCCTGTTGACTCCAGCTGGGCACTCAGCACCCTGGGAAATTCAGACTTCTTTAAAATCAGGCTCTTATCTATCTCTTGGTCACAAAGTACCTAGGAGCAAGAGCAGAACCATGGGCTCAACCCATCTCCCACTGAAGACAGTGTATTTTTTTTAAGTGTGTTCCCTACTGAGGAGACAGCAGCCCCTCAAGAGGCTCTAGCATTTGATCACCAGGATCTTCTGGAGACAACACTTCCAGCCTCTGGACGGTCTCGCCCCAGCTGGGGAGAAGGCTCTATTTCAGCCACACCACTGTGCCTTGTAGCTGGGGTGGGGTTGCAGGTGATGCATGGGAAAGAGTAGGATCTAAAATACGGCAGAGCACGACTGTTGTGTGAATGGAGAGTGTGTGACTCCTCAGTGGGCTTGTTTAAGCTGTTCCCTCCCGCAGGCACTGTGCAGAGTGTATAAGAGGTTCTACTTAATTCCCCCCTTAGTTTCCTAAGGCAGGGCTGGAGTCTACCATCTTCACATCATGCCTGGGGGATTTCCTGGCATAAGCTTTGTAATATTTTACTGCTTTCTAGTCACTGCAATGGTGTGCTCACTTGAGTGCTGTCTGGGCAAGGAGGGAGCCAGCTAACATTTTTAACCTTGAGTGGTCTGCCTCGTATAGGGGCAGAAACACCAATGAGAGACTCTGTCCCATCAGGTTAACGAGCTGCTTTGGAACTTAGACTCTACCATCCTGGCAGTTTGGCTGGAAGATCTTAAGAAAGAAAAGAACTCCGGGACAAACACCTATGGTAAGAATACTTGCAGTGCCCTGACTGCCCCCAAGTGCACATTAATTAGGAGGTGTGGGGAGGCAATATGCCAGAAGACATGGGGAGATTCTGCTCAGTGTTTTGAGGTACCTGTGCAAGGTCAGGAGAAACGGCCCCTGGTTCACTAGATTTTGCTCACGGGCATTGTCTGGGCCAGCTGCTCTGGAAGCAATGCCAAACCTCACTGCCCATCAGTGGGCTTCTGAAACATCTACACCAGTGACTGAGGATCCCAGCCCTTAAAGCTGATGTCCCCTTTGGGGAAAGGTCTTTTGCAGGGAAGAGGAGGAGCACAGAATTTTTAGGTTCTTTTTAGCAAATTTTTGAGCTCAGGGTTGCTTTGTGCTGGGTGCTTCACAGACACAGTAGGAGACTGCCCCTGCCCCAAAGAGCTCACTATCTTAATAGGCAAGGTAGAGGATGGGAGACAGGAAGGGTGGTTATCCCCCTGTACTGAGAGCAAAGTGACTGGGCCCTAGTCACATAGGGAGTCTGGCAGGACAGGGATTGAACCGGGATCTTTTGTGTCCAGTGTAGTGTGTTAACCCCAAAGCTAGTCTTCCTGGAGCAGAGGGTGACTGAAGGTTAGACAGGCTGAAGGGCTGCTGAAATAATCTTTGGTGGCGGCCATGACAGAGATAGGGCCCGAACATTCAGCTAAAACTGCTGGATCCCCCCAAGCTGCGAGTGGGAAAGGTCCGGCAGGGTGCCAGCTGTGACCTTACTGCCCCAGCCCCCATGCAATGCGTAATGACGACATTTCTCTGTGTAGTTCAGCTCTGGACAGTGGGGAACTATCACTGGTACCTGAAGCAGAGCCTGCGTTTTGGCAGCGCTGAGAAAAGCCAGCTCGTGTCACTGCGGTGGGACCCTGAGATCCCACGTCGACTGCACGCTCTCTGCAGGGGGTGGCACGCCCTCTGCTACGACTGGCACTGGAGCACCGACCGCAGCACTGGGGAGGAGAGCCGCCGCGTGGCCAGCGTGGCCGTTATTGATGGAGGTGACTGCGGGAGACCAAGTCAGTGACGGGGGGGTGTGTCCGCTGTTTAGCAGGTCTGTCTGTCTGGGGCATTGCAGTGCTGGAGTGCTGCTTCTCTCACTGGGGGACATGATAAAAGACCCTAGTGTGAGGGAGAGCTCCCTCCTTCAGGGCTAAATCCAAAGCCCCTCAGAGTCCATGGGAGTTGAATTAATGGGCTTTCAATCAGGGCCTCCGTGAGCAGAGCAGCCCTTCGTTGTACCCCTCCCCACGCTCCAAGCCGCCTCTTCCACTGGCAGTATTGCTGTGCCTGTTGCAGTCCGGGTCAGAGCTGGAGCTGCAGTCGTGGGATGGTTCACAGCCTGAGTTTCCTGTTTTCTCAGATAAGGTGCTAGTAACGGCCTTCCAGCATTCTGTGCTGCCTCCGCCCATGTGCACCTTCCAGCTCCAGCTCCAGCAGGCGGTGAACCAGGTCGCATTCCACACAGACCCCGCAAAGAGCGCAGACCTTGCTGTCCTCGACGCCAGCAACAGGATCTCCATTTACAGAGTTGGTGTGTGGTTTCTCTTTCTCTCAGTTCCTGGGTTTGCTGCACCCTTGCTCCCTCCATGGTCTTCTCAAGCGTGCCCTTTCAGGTCTCAGACCTCCAAGTGTCATGTCTGTATGAGCAGGGACCCATGTCCCTCTTCCTCCAGATAAGGGATCTAGGCTTGCTGTCCCCCTGCAGTTAACTCTTACTATCCCAGCAAGTCTGCAGTGAGTGCAGCACCTGTGGTTCGCTCTCTCTCGGCACAGTGAGCAGCCAGTTTTCACAGAGCATTTATTGTATTTAGAACAGAAGAATTACAGGAAAACAATCCTAAAGCAACAATCAGTCTTCCCGCATGCTGGGCTTACCAAGTGTCCCCTGTCTTCCCCCCCATCATGGAGACCCTGACAAGTTCCAGGGCTTCATGCCCTTCCAGCAGGGTTTGCCCGCTTGGTAACAGTCTCAGGTCAGCTCAAAGGTCAAATGAGGGACACTCAGTTAGTTCAGGCTGACCTTTTACACCACAAGCTCTTTCTTTGTCATCTGGGCTTCGTGATCCGGGTCTGATCCAGCCTATGCAGTTCCTCCCAGGGGATGGTACTACTCTGGAGTTGTTTGCTTGTCCCAAGGATTTTAGTCCTGGAATATTGTGTGGCAAAATCTCAGGCCATGGGTGAGTCAGTAACAGAAGGGTCAGGAAGGTGTCATTTGATTTGTAAAAACCTACAGAATCATAATTTCAGTGGTGTCCACCTCCGTGGTGTGGCAGAGGGGACTCGCTGACATCCCAGCCACCCCCGCTCCCAGCTTCATGTCTTTCAGTTGGAAATTTTGATAATAGCATCATTGGATATGGGTCAAGTTGGGTATCTTTCGAAAGCTTTCTCCCACAGATGCAGTGCTACCAAGCATGACAAACCTAGAACAATTATGTACATATATATATTTGAGAAAATGTTTACAAATACATTTATTTTAATTATACTTTAACACAAGGATGCATTGCTTATGTTTTAAAAAAGAAAAAAAGCAACCCTTAACATCTTGGCAGGTGTTAAGTTTCTAGTTTGCGAGTTTTTACCTCAGCCACACTATCTATGTTTGCTATGTTGTAAGGTCTCTGTTGGTGTAAGGTTTCTGGTCCCCTTGTAAGTAGGTGCTGGATTAGGAAGACCATGCAAAATGACCATTAGTTTGCTTTTTGCCTGGCACATATGCATTGTTCCGTCGCATTCGAACATCGATAGTGCTACCACGGAGAACTCAGACTTTCCCAAAGTCTAACATAGATCAGCATCGTACTGAGATCTGGACACAACCAGGTGATGAACAAACAATGATCTGTCTACGATTAGCTCTGTACTGATCTCTGCCACCTTCATTCTGACTTTTTTTTGCATTAGAGCACAGCTTTCATCTGTTCTTCTTAATAGGAATCCATAGATTTGGTGGAGCCTGGGATAATTCTTTGGGTTTTGAGGGCTTCCTACAAGTCATGGCTAAGGCTAAGATTTTGTAACGGACTTTTTTTTTAGTAAAAGTCATGGACAAGTCACAGGCAATAAACAAAAATTTCACAGAAGCCCATAACCTGTCTCTCTGACTTTCACTAAAAATAGCCCTGACAAAATGGGGAGGTGGGTTCAGCTCAGCAGCCACTGTTGTTGGGGCTCCGATGTCTCCTGCCGCTGCAGTGGGAGCTCCAGGGTTCCTCCCAGGCATCAGCTGAGCAGCTCTTGGCGTGGCAGCAGGAAGCTCTGGGGCAGCAGGAAGCTCTGGGGGTCCCCTGCCACCTGCAGCAACTGGGAGCTCCAGGGTCCCCTGCCGCCTGTGGAAGCTGGGCTACTGCAGGGTCTCCTCACCCCCCCATAGCGTCTGGGAGCTCCAGGAGTCCCCCAGCCGTGGCTGGAAAGTCCCAGGGTGGAGGTGAGGGGCCGGCTTGGAGCTCCAGCCCCGGGGCAGAAAATGTCACTGAGGTCAATGGACGTCACGGATTCTGTGACCTCTGTGACGTAATCATAGTCTTAGTCATGTCCCAGAGTATCCATTCAGCTGACCTCTTTAACAGTCTCATCACTGAAGACTGTTGTTCGTCATAGAATCATAGAATCATAGAATATCAGGGTTGGAAGGGACCCCAGAAGGTCATCTAGTCCAACCCCCTGCTCGAAGCAGGACCAAATCCCAGTTAAATCATCCCAGCCAGGGCTTTGTCAAGCCTGACCTTAAAAACCTCTAAGGAAGGAGATTCTACCACCTCCCTAGGTAACGCATTCCAGTGTTTCACCACCCTCTTAGTGAAAAAGTTTTTCCTAATATCCAATCTAAACCTCCCCTCAGTAATGAGACCATTACTCCTCGTTCTGTCATCTGCTACCATTGAGAACAGTCTAGAGCCATCCTCTTTGGAACCCCCTTTCAGGTAGTTGAAAGCAGCTATCAAATCCCCCCTCATTCTTCTCTTCTGCAGGCTAAACAATCCCAGCTCCCTCAGCCTCTCCTCATAAGTCATGTGTTCCAGACCCCTAATCATTTTTGTTGCCCTTCGCTGGACTCTCTCCAATTTATCCACATCCTTCTTGAAGTGTGGGGCCCAAAACTGGACACAGTACTCCAGATGAGGCCTCACCAATGTCGAATAGAGGGGAACGATCACGTCCCTCGATCTCCTCGCTATGCCCCTACTTATACATCCCAAAATGCCATTGGCCTTCTTGGCAACAAGGGCACACTGCTGACTCATATCCAGCTTCTCGTCCACTGTCACCCCTAGGTCCTTTTCCGCAGAACTGCTGCCTAGCCATTCGGTCCCTAGTCTGTAGCTGTGCATTGGGTTCTTCCGTCCTACGTGCAGGACCCTGCACTTATCCTTATTGAACCTCATCAGATTTCTTTTGGCCCAATCCTCCCATTTGTCTAGGTCCTTCTGTATCCTATCCCTCCCCTCCAGCATATCTACCACTCCTCCCAGTTTAGTATCATCCACAAATTTGCTGAGAGTGCAATCCACACCATCCTCCAGATCATTTATGAAGATATTGAACAAAACCGGCCCCAGGACCGACCCTTGGGGCACTCCACTTGATACCGGCTGCCAACTAGACATGGAACCATTGATAACTACCCATTGAGCCCGACAATCTAGCCAGCTTTCTACCCACCTTATAGTGCATTCTTCCAGCCCATACTTCCTTAACTTGCTGACAAGAATACTGTGGGAGACCGTGTCAAAAGCTTTGCTAAAGTCAAGAAACAATACATCCACTGCTTTCCCTTCATCCACAGAACCAGTAATCTCATCATAAAAGGCGATTAGATTAGTCAGGCATGACCTTCCCTTGGTGAATCCATGCTGGCTGTTTCTGATCACTTTCCTCTCATGCAAGTGCTTCAGGATTGATTCTTTGAGGACCTGCTCCATGATTTTTCCAGGGACTGAGGTGAGGCTGACTGGCCTGTAGTTCCCAGGATCCTCCTTCTTCCCTTTTTTAAAGATTGGCACTACATTAACCTTTTTCCAGTCATCCGGGACTTCCCCCGTTCGCCACGAGTTTTCAAAGATAATGGCCAATGGCTCTGCAATCACAGCCGCCAATTCCTTCAGCACTCTCGTCATGATATTAATGAGCTCCTGTAGGTCATCCATTTTGTATCCGTGAAACTGCCATGTACTGCAGGACAAAATGCTTCTCTGTAAAAATTTAGCAGTTGCAAACAGTCTTCATATTACTGTTGACATCGGCCTTTTTTCTGCTTTTGATAGCACCACAACTTTTAAGGATATGCGCTGTGATTCATGTCTGTGGGTATGATTACCACAGACTAAGTCCATGTCCCTTAGTTCATCTTCAGTAAGTGCTTCCAGAGCCTTTCGGCTTTGTTCCTCTTCAGTCCCATTCAGAGCAACTGTTTCTCTGTACTTAGCCTCTAGATTGGCCATCGCCACCACTTTCCTACCCATTACAGCTTCTGCAAGGCAATTGATGAACAATTTCAATTGCACAGTTTGCAGGAGTAAAATCAGTATTTGTTTCTATTGCTTTTACCTTTCGATGCAACACATTGTATACATTCTTGGTGCATCACTCGATGTGATATGAAATGTCATGTGTGGGTGTGTTTTGGGTCATTGCACTCATTTAACTTTACTTTCCATGGAACTTTCTTGCTGATTGCTTCATACAGTTTCTCACCTGTCTCACATATAGTAACTGTGCTTAATGGATGCTTTCGGGCTTAGGGCAGAAAAAGCAAGTGTTCTTCTCAAAACACATTCCATGGCTAGTATAAGGCAAGTCTCACCTTCAGTTGGCCTTGTTATGGGATCTTCAACTTTTTTCTGATCCTTGATGTACTTCCTCCCCAATCTTGCCAAATTCAGTTTATGTGCACTTCTGATAGCATGTATGGTCCCTGCAAGCATTGTGTTTAGGTATTCTCCAAAGATTCAGCTACTAGTTGGTACTCTCTCTCCCCATTGATGCCTAAAAATGATCAAGACCGAAATTAAAACCAGTATTTTGTAATAAATTGCTTTGGGATTGTAATTAATTATGTGATGTAACTGTGTGGGTGCTGTTTGTGGATGCAGTCCAGTAATTTATTGCCTGGATACTGACATCTTAACCAGTGCCTCATTGCCACTCATAACAGATGAATAAAGCTGACAATCAGTACCACTGACCTGCTTCATTTTTGGCGATGATGGCAAATCAACCTGAAGCACTCCTTTCATTTATGGTAATCTGTAATATTAAAAAAATTAAATCAGATATCATGTTCTGAGCGTTTAGCTGATAACAGAGTACTGTCACAATTTAGTTGAGAGTGCTGTGTTAAACATGCCTGTGTTTAAAAATCCAATTTTTAATTATTCTTTAAAGTTTTCATGAATATATATCTGCATAATTGTTTTAGGTTTGTCATGTTTGGTACCATAGTATTTAAGCAAGAAATGGCTTTTGAATGGTACCAAGTCAACCCATTACTGATTTCACTGTATTATCAAAATTTCCACCAATCCAAGGACCTGGAGCTGGGAGCCGGGTGGCACCAAATCCCTGGTTCCATACTGAGGAGGACGGCACCATTGGAATTATGATTCTGTAGTGTTTTTTTTAATCAAATGACACCTCCCTTATCTTTCTATCACTAACTCACCCACAGAATTACACATGCTCCCAATAATTATTCCCCACTGATTTTTAGCTCCTGGAGGAAGCTTGGTAACGCTGCCTCGTGTAGCTAGAATACAATCCCCAGCTCACAAGGAAACGGATCACATTTCTAGATACACACGTTAATGAATATCTCCTGTGCCCATAGCGTCTAGCACATCTCACAATAATTGTCTTTTGAAGTTTCTATACTTCCAGGGTCTCGTATCTGCCACCCTTTGCACATTGTACTGCATGCCTGCCCCTGGGCATGCTCCTCCCTCTGTGTGAGCTATGCTGAGTGATGCTGGTGCTTGCAGATCAGCCTGGCACACACAACTTTCGCTTTCAAATGCCCAGGTCTTTGATGCGGCCCCAGCCTTGTACCAATGGCCTTGTAGTTGATGGGAGGCTTGCATGACAAGCAAACGCAGTGTTTAACCCCGGTCCAGCTGGATGCCATCTCAGGTGACTCATTGCTGAAGCAATAGCATCTGAGTTTGTGAGTTTGTTGTGTGGCCTGTTCCCTCTTATGCCTGCAGAATGCTGTGAGGCATCCTGCATGGACTGCCAGGATTGGTTTGGCATCCTTCTTCTGAAGATGGCTGTGATCCTAGAGCGTAGTGATGGCAAAGGCCCCTCAGCCCTAGTTCAATGCAGGATCAGTCCCTCATGGACAACCCATTGAAGAGCTCAGCTGTCAGTGTGCTGAGTGATAGGAGGGCTCCCTCCACCCCTCCAGGAGGGCTGTCACCTGTTTTTGGTTTCATGCTACACATTTAAGAGTATGACTCTTGCTGTGCACAAGTGAGAATTGCAGAGGCAGTTGATGTAGAAGAGAGAGCCTAATGAACAGGCCACTGCATGTTGAATTGCCCTCAGTAATGGTTAGATTGGGAGCAATGTACTTTGCAAATCTCTGGTGGTTGTGCTTGAAGGGCGCTCTAACATGCCTGTATGCTCCATTTGCCAGGTGACGGCACTGTGAAAGACCCCACTGTTACATTGGGAGGAAGTGGATTTAAAGCTTCTGTTGAAACACCTCATCTGGAAAAAACCTACAGGTACTGCAGGCCTATTGTGAGTTCTGGGAAACAGGGCCCGGGGCTGTATATAGGCAGTGGCTGACTGCTGGGTGAGAGGTGCCTCCTGCTTAGCTTAAGGGCCCTTATTCCTGCTGTGCAGGGACTCTGGCCTCAACTGACACTAAGGAAGCACAAATGAAGCCCTGGCTGGGCAGCGTGGCACCCTCTCCCCCAGGGTGGCTGGTTTGGGTCTAGCTCTGCCGGCTAGCGGCGGCTGTGACCGTCTCCAGGGTCTTCGCTTTTAGCACGGGAAGAAACACCACGTTCTGGCACCCCTAGCAACAGATTTTGTCATGCCACAGGGCATGCTTCCCTCCCCAGGGATGTGGGCACTGGAGGAATGAGGTGCACCAGTGCAAGGCTGCTTGTACTGGAAGGGCCAGTGAGTGCTTCAGCCCCTCCCCTCTCTGCGTTCTCGCACACCAAGCCCAGCTGACCAGGCAGGTGAGTCCCACTTTGGGGAGGCAGATGGCTCCCTAGGCACATGGCATGGGGTGCCAGATGCACCACCTTGGGCTAAAAGTGTGCGCTACAGATCAGTCATCCTGGAGTGTGACTACACCCTTTACTCTGATCGCCTGCATGTGTCCATTCCGCTTCAGGTGTGCGTGCACTCAGGACACCAGCGTCAAGAGATTTGTCCTTTAGCAGTACCCACTGAGGTGATGCATGTGTCCTCTGCTGCCTCGTGCTGCTGTGCAGTGATATAAAAGGTGGACCTGATCCCTCTCAGTTCCTTCTTACTGTCCATGGTAGGTAGTCTGCACATGTTAGCTGCTTCTTCGAGTGCTTGTTCATGTCCATTACAATCAGGTGTATGCGCGCGCATGTGCAGGATAGCCGGAAGATTTTTCCCATAGCAGTCTCCGTCGGGTCAGCCTGGGCACCCCCAGAAGTCGCGCCTTCGTGGCGCTCAATATAGAGCCCTGCCGACCCACCACCCCCCTCAGTTCCTTCTTACTGCCCGTGACGGTTAGCTGGAACTGTGACGTTGCACTCCGTATGTTTTATGGAAATCTGTTCATAAGTGTGAATATGAGGTGACTGGGATATACTTTATTGAGAAGATCTCTTGTAAGGTGTCATTGCAAAGCTTAGGATCTACTGAGTGTGTTCATCCCATCTGTTTGCATGTATCATTTCTAGGACTGGAGGCAGGAGAATAAGAGAGAAACTTGTATCACTGAGGTAAACATTTTAAGTGTAAGCCATTAAGGGTGCTCCAGAATCAGTCACCTGTACGCGGCTCTGTTTACTTGCAAGCCTTCCGGGTAGGTGCCGGCCAGCCCTGGGAGAATGGAAGCTGAGGTCTCACAGGACATGTGACCATGTCACCTGCTACTGGAATCCATCTTAAATCTGGTGCTTTTCCATTTAGAAGGAGGGATGGGAACCCAGAGAGACATAAGATTCCCGCCTTGGGCCAAAGCTATAAAAAGGGGTGGAGCAGAACAAAGTGGGCTGCAGTCATGAGAAATCCCCTCGTTACCACCTGAGCTGGAACTAACAAGGATTGTACCGGGGAAAGGATTGGGCCCAGACTAGGAAGGAGTCTAATCTGTGAAACAAGCTTATTGGAACATCTGTGAGGGTGAGATTTACCTGTAATCAGTTTCTTAATGTATTAGGCTTAGACTTGCGTGTTTTGTTTTATTTTGCTTAGTAACTTACTTTGTTCTGTCTGTTATTACTTGGAACCACTTAAATCCTACTTTTTATACTTAATAAAATCACTTTTGCTTATTAATTAACCCAAAGTGAGTAAGTGATTAATACCTGGGGGAGCAAACAGCTGTGCATATCTCTCTATCAGTGTTATAGAGGGTGGACAGTTTGAGTTTACCCTGTATATGCTTTATACAGAGTAAAACAGATTTATTTGGGGTTTGGATCCAATTGGGAGCTGAGTGTCTGGATGCTGGAGATAGGTGACCTGCTGAGCAGTTTTTAATTAAAGTCTGGGGCTTTGGGGGTGTGGACCAGACCTGGGTCTGTGTTGCAGCAGGCTAGCATGTCTGGCTCAACAAGGCAGGGTTCCGGAGTCCCAAGCTGGCAGGGAAAACGGGCTCAGAGGTAATTTCAGCATGTCAGGTGACAGTCCCAAGGGGGTCTCTGTGACCAAACCTGTCACAGGAACGTCCCATAGCCTTTGCTTAGCAAGTGCCTTTATTCCCCCCGGGGTCCCGCACTCAGCACACCCTTATCGGTGCAGAATTCCCTGGCTCCATCATCCCAGGAACTGGTGCCGAAAAAGGACTCCTCCCGAGACCCTCGGCACTGGCATGGCTCCTCCCACGGCCAATCAGCTAGGCACCAGTCTCAGTTGCCGGTGCCTCAGAAGAGGAAGAGCCGGAAAGGGGGTGTTCTCCCCCAACTAAGTCTAAGGAGCCAACGGCTGTGAGACCCCATTCGGGCCACAGAACCAGGTCCCTGGGCAGAGCCACGTCAACTCCTGCCCAGGTGAGGCAGTTAAGTCTGGGCCCGCCACAATTGCTGGACCCTACTGGCCAGCAACTGCCACTCCCCTCGACACTGGAGGCTTTTGAGGCGGCTCAAGACTTGCTGTGTCTCACTGTACAGTTCTGGCCCCCTAGTACAGAGCTGGCTCCGGCCCCGCCTGCAGCACTGTGACCCCAGGTAGAATCAAGAGGGAAGCCGGCGGTGATGTCCCGGCACGCCCCTTCTCCATGGCACCGCCTGGCACCAACACCTCTGGAGAGAGAACTCAGTTGGTCCCTGCGCTCCCGATGCTCGGTGCCCCAAAGCACAGCTCCTCCATGGCCTTCGTGTTTGGAGACCTCAGAGTTGGAGTCAGACTCCTACCTCTCTGATAAGGGCAGGAGGTCCAGGTCACGGCAGGAGAGACGTGCTTGCCCAGCGCAGTGGCAGAACCCCGCGCAGTGGCCCTTCTGGACTCCATGGGCTTTTCACGAGAGCCAGGGAAGGAGCCAAGAGTCCTGCTCGGCAGTGACTTTGTTGGCTTTGGCCACCTGTATCCCACCGGCTGAGCAACCAGCCACTGAACCACCGACATCGACACCCTCGGCTGCGGCACCGTCGCTCACGCTGGCTTCAGCTCCAGCTCCGACATCTGCACCAGCGTTGATAGTGGCCCCAGTGGCTCCAACAGCGGCTCTGGCACTGACCGCGCCGCCACGGAGGCTGGTGCCCACCGCCCCAGTACCAAACACGGCACCGTCCATGTCTGTTCCTGCACAGGACCCCCGAGAGTCACAGGATCCCTTGGGTGCTGATGGCAGGGAGCAGCTGCCGTTACTTGGAGCTTCCTCCTCTTCGTCGCCGAACAAGGCGCTGGCTGGTACCGCCGTCACCACGGCACTCGAGGACAGTCGGGTGTTGCAGCAGTTGCTGTGCCGGGTTGCCCGGGGTCTGGGCATCAAGGCAGAGGAGGTAGTCAAGGACTCTGGACCTTCCCGTATTGCCTTACTGCTCATAAAAATTATCACGGACATCAACAAAACCCTGTGGCAGACCCCAGCCTCATTGCCACCCGCTGCCAAGCGCAATGAAAGGTGATCCTTTGTGCCTTCTAAGGGTTATGAACATCTTTATTCCCACCCGCAACCTGATTAGCTAGTTGTGCATGCTGCTAACCATCCTGATCGGCAAGGTTTTCAAGGGCCCTCCCCTCAAAACAGGCAGGCTAAAACACTTAACCTTTTCAGGAGGAAGGTCTATTCTACAGGTGGATTGCAACTCCATATTTCCAGCCAACAGGTCGTTGTCATCCGGTACTCTTTTAATACCACTACTGCAATGGCAAACTTTGTGAGCTACTCCTCCTAGACTCCTGTGCTGAGTTTTTGGCCTTGGTTGAGGCAGGCAAGCTAATCTCCCGAGCTTCCCTCCAGGCGGTGCTGGATGCTGCTGATGCCACCACAAGAGTCATGGCTACAGGGGTGACCATGAGAATGGGTTCCTGGCTCCAGGTCTCTGGTCACCCGTACAAGGTCCAGCAGACCATACAGGACCTCCCCTTCGAGGGTCTGACTCTGTTTTCAGAGAAGACAGATAAAAGGCTACATAGCCTAAAAGACTCTAGAGCCACCCTCAAATCCTTGGGCCTACACACTCCCGCCACGCAGCGGAAACCTTTCAGGCCTCAGCCGCCTCCACGGTTCTACCAACAGGGCAGCTCCTGGAGGAGGAATAGGAGTGGCAGGAAAAGGCCACACCCATCCTCAGGCCAGGACTCTGGCCAACCCAAACCACCTTCAGGCCCCATACCGGCCTTTTGAAGGTGCGGTCAAGGACTGCACACCAGATCAAAAACTGGATCTACCCCACCTTACCTTTTCCTCCCAACTGTCCCCTTTCTACCATGCATGGTCCCATAGCACTTTGGACCGATGGGTGCTCTTCACGGTAGAGAGGGGATAACCCATCCAATTCTGTGCCCTTCAGCCCCACTTCCTTGTCCCTCTTCAGGGACCCCTTGTGACGGGTTCAGTCACAGAGACCCCCTTGGCACTGTCACCTGATGTGCTGAGACTACCTCTGAGCCCGTTTTCTCTGCCAGTTTGGGTTCCTCCAGAACCCTGCCTTGTCGAGCCAGACTTGCCAGTCTGCTCCAACACAGATCCAGGGTCTGAACCATGCCCCCAAAGCTGCAGACTTAACTGAAATCAGTTTAAGAAGTGCTCCTGTCTCTAGCATCCTGACACCCAGCTCCCAGTGGGATCCAAACCCCAAATAAATCCGTTTTACTCTGTATAAAGCTTATACAGGATAAACTCATAAATTGTCTGCTCTCTATAACACTGATAGAGAGATATATACAGCTGTTTGCTCCCCCAGGTATTAATTACTTACTCTGGGTTAATTAATAACAAAAGTGATTTTATGAAGTATAAAAAGTAGGATTTAAATGGTTTCAAGTAATAACAGACAGAACAATGTAAATTACCATGCAAAATAAAACCAAACATGCAAGTCTAAGCCTAATACATTAAGAAAGT